TACAGTAAGCTCATCAGCTTAGGCCTACACTAAACTCATCAGCTTAGGCCTATACTAAGAACCGCCAATTTGGTACTTCTCAGACGTGATCTTATCTAGCCAGCATCCACGTCTGGTTGCTAGAGTGAAGGTCCCGAATATTTCAGTTCAAATCCTGGATGGTCACAATTCTTATGATGGTGTGAAGGTCCACGTTAACCACACCATGATATAGAGAAGGATACCCTACTGCTCTTCTCATTCATCTCACACTTGCTGTTAACAGAAAACAGTTGGTGGAGGTTTTACTAGTGAGCCGGAGATCAACCGCCTGGATCCCGGACACAACTGCAAATGGAAAGTTGATCCTATGATCCAGCCGGCACCAGGCCAGGTAACGAGGGGCTCGGGCGCCTCCCACCAAACACATCACTTCTAATCCAGCTGATGGAGGGTGACAGCTGATGCTTCAACCACCTATATTACCCTTCCATCGTTGACAAACGGTCGTGTTGACAACGTTAATTACCTTACACCATCACTCTGTCTAACCACTTGGGCTGGACGGTAGAGCGACGGTCTCGCTTTATGCAGGTCGACGTTCAATCCCCGACCGTCCAAGTAGTTGGGAGAGAGGTTATCTTGAGAGATGATTTCGGGGCTTTAGTGTCCCCGCGGCCCGGTCCTCGACCAGGCCTCCACCCCCAGGAAGCAGCCCGTGACACCTGACTAACACCCAGGTACCTATTTTACTGCTAGGTAACAGGGGCATAGGGTGAAAGAAACTCTGCCCATTGTTTCTCTCCGGTGCCCGGGATCGAACCCGAGACCACAGGATCACATGTCCAGTGTGCTGTCCGCTCGACCGACCGGCTCCCACGGGCACCATTCCTTTCCCCCCGTCCCAGCCCAAATCCTTATCCTGACCCCTTCCCAGTGCTATATAGTGGTAATGGCTTGGCGCTTTTCCTTGATAGTTCTTCTTATACCATCACTGGTCCGTACAAGGGGGCCTGGAGAACACCTGTACCAGGTGATGAGAAACAATGGCAGAGTTTCTTTCACCCTATGCCCCTGTTACCTAGCAGTAAAATAGGTACCTGGGTGTTAGTCAGCTGTCACGGGCTGCTTCCTGGGGGTGGAGGCCTGGTCGAGGACCGGGCCGCGGGGACACTAAAAGCCCCGAAATCATCTCAAGATAACCTCAAGATAACGGTGAGAGGAGAGAGTTCCCACCGCTGGTGTGGACCACGAGCCGTAATCATCGTCTCTAATTGGCTAGTTCCCTCAGAATGATACTCGTTACCAACAACAACAGTCTAGGATAACTAACCCTCGCTGGCAGGCTGGTTACACCAGCAGTAATCTGTCAACGAGTGGGAGACATCATTATATGTCAGTATACCCATCATCAGGTGTCAGTATAATCACCTGGTGTGTCAGTATACCCATCACCTGGTGTCAGTATACCCATCACCTGGTGTCAGTATACCCATCACCTGGTGTCAGTATACCCATCACCTGGTGTGTCAGTATACCCATCACTGGGTGTCAGTATACCCATCACTGGGTGTCAGTATACCCATCACCTGGTGTCAGTATACCCATCACCTGGTGTGTCAGTATACCCATCACCTGGTGTGTCAGTATACCCATCACTGGGTGTCAGTATACCCATCACCCATCACCAGGACACACATGACACAACCATCACCAGGACACATGACCCAACCATCACCAGGACACATGACACAACCATCACCAGGACACATGACACAACCATCACCAGGACACATGACACAACCATCACCAGGACACATGACACAACCATCACCAGGACACATGACCCAACCATCACCAGGACACACATGACACAACCATCACCAGGACACATGACACAACAATCACCAGGACACACATGACACAACCATCACCAGGACACATGACACAACCATCACCAGGACACACATGACACAACCATCACCAGGACACACATGACACAACAATCACCAGGACACACATGACACAACCATCACCAGGACACATGACACAACCATCACCAGGACACACATGACACAACCATCACCAGGACACATGACACAACCATCACCAGGACACATGACACAACCATCACCAGGACACATGACACAACCATCACCAGGACACATGACACAACCATCACCAGGACACATGACACAACCATCACCAGGACACACATGACACAACCATCACCAGGACACATGACCCAACCATCACCAGGACACATGACACAACCATCACCAGGACACATGACACAACCATCACCAGGACACACATGACACAACCATCACCAGGACACATGACCCAACCATCACCAGGACACATGACCCAAGCGTTACACACCGAGCAGATTTCCCTCAAATTTGGGTCAATTTAATTGTAAATGTAATAACTTGTGTGAGAGCGCTGGCACCGGCTGTGAGGGGCACGACTGACGTGGTCCTCTGGGACCGGCGCCGCTACATCAAACACACTACTCATTAACCTAATTAACTTTATTGGGGTAATGTGCTCTTCTAACAGCAGTTATTATCCGACATTATTCTGCTGGGAAATATGGATTCGCTTTACAACCGGCATTTGTTTAACACTGAGGGTCTTACTGAAGGTTTATCCCCGCTGTTTCTTGGTGAATGTCACCATTGGTTACTGTGAATAATTAGATTGTGGAGGACTTATGGAGGTTCTCGCACGCACGCACGCACGCACTCGCACACATACAGGGGGACTGGTAGCCTGGTGGATAGCGCGCAGGGCTCGTAATTCTGTGGTGCGGGTTCTATTCCCGCACCAGGCAGAAACAAATGGGTATAGTTTCTTTCACCCTGAATGCCGTTGTTTCCTAGCAGTAAATATGGGGTGTGTGTTGTGTGTGTGGGTGTGTGTGTGTGTGTGTGTGTGTGTGTGTGTGTGTGTGTGTGTGTGTGTGTGTGTGTGTGTGTGTGTGTGTGTGTGTGTGTGTGTGTGTGTGTGTGTGTGTGTGTGTGTGTGTGTGTGTGTGTACTCACCTAATTGTGCTTGCGGGGGTTGAGCTCTGGCTCTTTGGTCCCGCCTCTCAACTGTCAATCAACTGGTGTACAGATTCCTGAGCCTATTGGGCTCTATCATATCTACACTTGAAACTGTGTATGGAGTCAGCCTCCACCACATCACTGCCTAATGCATTCCACCTGTTAACTACTCTGACACTGAAAAAATTCTTTCTAATGTCTCTGTGGCTCATCTGGGTACTAAGTTTCCACCTGTGTCCCCTTGTTCGTGTCCCACCCGTGCTGAAGAGTTTGTCTTTGTCCACCCTGTCAATTCCCCTGAGAATTTTGTAGGTGGTTATCATGTCTCCCCTTACTCTTCTGTTTTCCAGGGATGTGAGGTTCAGCTCCTTTAGCCTTTCCTCGTAGCTCATTCCTCTCAGTTCCGGGACGAGCCTGGTGGCATACCGCTGAATCTTCTCTAACTTTGTCTTGTGTTTAACTAGGTATGGACTCCAGGCTGGAGCTGCATACTCCAGGATTGGTCTTACATAAGTGGTATACAGGGTTCTGAAAGGTTCCTTACACAAGTTTCTAAAGGCAGTTCTTATGTTTGCCAGAAAGTTCAACTCAGGAAAGTGTAACTTGATGAAATTAGGCGAAGGGAGCAGGAGGCTGACCACAAGGTACCATCTGGGAGGTGAAATCCTGGGAGGTGAAATCCTGAAAAAAATGAGTCAAATAGAGAGAAGGATCTGGGGGTTGATATCACACCGAACCTGTCCCCAGAGGCCCACATCAAAAGGATATCATCAGCGGCATATGCTAGACTGGCAAACATAAGAACTGCCTTTAGAAACTTGTGTAAGGAACCTTTCAGAACCCTGTATACCACTTATGTAAGACCAATCCTGGAGTATGCAGCTCCAGCCTGGAGTCCATACCTAGTTAAACACAAGACAAAGTTAGAGAAGATTCAGCGGTATGCCACCAGGCTCGTCCCGGAACTGAGAGGAATGAGCTACTAGAAAAGGCTAAAGGAACTGAACCTCACATCCCTGGAAAACAGAAGAGTAAGGGGAGACATGATAACCACCTACAAAATTCTCAGGGGAATTGACAGGGTGGACAAAGACAAACTCTTCAGCACGGGTGGGACACGAACAAGGGGACACAGGTGGAAACTTAGTACCCAGATGAGCCACAGAGACATTAGAAAGAATTTTTTCAGTGTCAGAGTAGTTAACAGGTGGAATGCATTAGGCAGGGATGTGGTGGAGGCTGACTCCATACACAGTTTCAAGTGTAGATATGATAGAGCCCAATAGGCTCAGGAACCTGTACACCTGTTGATTGGCAGTTGAGAGGCGGGACCAAAGATCCAGAGCTCAACCGGCAAGCACAGCTAGGTGAATACACACACACACACACACACACACAACACACACAACACACACGCACACACACACACACACACACACACACACACACACACCATGATGGGGTGGAAGTTACAAGTTGTCACCAGCTATCATGACAACTTGCAACATTCACCAGCAAACTTTGTCCCCAGCACCACTGATCTTGCGAAGATTATGAATGTCTGAATAACATTGTTTTACAACGTGTAGAACGGAGGGACATATGAACGAGAGGGACAGATGAACCAAGTTCTACTGCTGTTGCTTCAACAACACCAGGTGTTGTTCAACACAACAACACAAGATGTTGTTCTTGTAACCCACCTCCCCCTTCCCCTCCGCCCCCCAACGGGTTAAGTTTCGACAGTGGCCAAAGCTTTTGGGCAATGTCGTCCATCAGGGTAATAAATCATTGTGAACAACAACTGCGGTTGTTTGCTGAAAGTCCGCCACAAAGCTTGTTGGTTCGGTCAAGCTTGTTGGTTCGGTCAAGCTTGTTGGTTCGGTCAAGCTTGTTGGTTCGGTCAAGCTTGTTGGTTCGGTCAAGCTTGTTGGTGCCGCCTTTCACACGACAGTTTGTGGCGCGGAAGAAATGTTTTACGACTCAGCTGGAAAATATTCCTCGTCGCGGAAATTATTGTCGTGTTGTGTTTGTTGTGTAAACTTTGTTGTGTTTATGGAGTCACCGGAGAGGACGACCTGTCGCACCGCCGGGCTGACACCGGCCTCCTACCGCACGGCTTACGGCCGGACGGCCTCCTACCGCACGGCTTACGGCCGGACGGCTTCCTACCGGACGGCTTACGGCCGGACGGCCTCCTACCGGACGGCTTCCTACCGGACGGCTTACGGCCGGACGGCCTCCTACCGGACGGCTTCCTACCGGACGGCCTCCTACCGCACGGCTTACGGCCGGACGGCTTACGGCCGGACGGCTTCCTACCGGACGGCTTACGGCCGGACGGCTTCCTACCGGACGGCTTACGGCCGGACGGCTTCCTACCGGACGGCTTACGGCCGGACGGCCTCCTACCGGACGGCTTACGGCCGGACGGCCTCCTACCGGACGGCTTACGGCCGGACGGCCTCCTACCGGACGGCTTACGGCCGGACGGCTTCCTACCGGACGGCTTCCTACCGGACGGCCTCCTACCGGACGGCTTCCTACCGGACGGCCTCCTACCGGACGGCTTCCTACCGGACGGCCTCCTACCGGACGGCCTCCTACCGGACGGCCTCCTACCGGACGGCTTACGTCCGGACGGCCTCCTACCGGACGGCTTACGTCCGGACGGCCTCCTACCGGACGGCTTACGGCCGGACGGCTTCCTGCCGGACGGCCTCCTACCGGACGGCTTACGTCCGGACGGCCTCCTACCGGACGGCTTACGGCCGGACGGCTTCCTGCCGGACGGCCTCCTACCGGACGGCCTCCTACCGGACGGCTTCCTACCGGACGGCTTCCTACCGGACGGCCTCCTACCGCACGGCTTCCTACCGGACGGCCTCCTACTGGACGGCTTCCTACCGGACGGCTTCCTACCGGACGGCCTCCTACCGGACGGCTTCCTACCGGACGGCCTCCTACCGGACGGCTTCCTACCGGACGGCCTCCTACCGGACGGCTTCCTACCGGACGGCCTCCTATCGGACGGCTTCCTACCGGACGGCCTCCTACCGGACGGCTTCCTACCGGACGGCCTCCTACCGGACGGCTTCCTACCGGACGGCCTCCTACCGGACGGCTTACGTCCGGACGGCTTCGACTTCCAGTCCATGTGATGGAAGGGAGTTACAGTGAAAACTGTATATATTAGAGAGACGGTGGTCGAGTGTAGTGTAGATTGCTACAGTGATGAAGGCCATGTGTAAGGAAAATGGTTACAGTGCTGAATATAGTGTGTAGCGGAGATGGCTACAGTGACGATGGTCTTGTATAGTGTAAATGGTTTGTTTAGTTCAGCCACTATTGTGATGTATTGTTACAAAGTTTCTGAACTTGTATCTCTCGACTTTCTAATTGTTACAGTACTGTGACGAACTACGGTGACGTCATCAGGCGTCCCATTAACCCAATTGCTACCACTCTCCAGCAGGGGCGTCCCAAGGTCAACCTGAGACCTGCATCACACACTCTGCCTCTGCCACCAGTCACCGGGCAACCCGTTCTCGCACTTGCTTATAGTCAATATATTGCTTATGAATATGTGCATGTGTGACATACTAATTTATTGTGAATATTTGAGTTTATCTTGAAAAGCTGAATAGAAAACACCGACCTAACCTAACCTTCTTAGTATGTTAAGATATTACAATTAGTACTGAACCTATACCTATATTGATATTACAGTTTTATAAAAATAATAAAACAAAACTGAAATAATTAAATAAATTGTAAAGTAACTCAGGATATTGTCAAATTATCAAATTGTCATATCAAAGGATATTGTCAAATTATTTTCACTCTGTTTAATAAAACTGAGAGAAAAAGTTAGTGCCTTGAAAAAATATATGGCTTGGAATATGTCACATATGTACTTATTTATAAGCAAAATAGTGACTATACACAATAAGTCATATATGTGCTGTCTTGTGCTAGAGCAAGTTGCACCGGCACCTCATCACCTGTTAGAACAGCAGACTACAAGATGGGAAACATTATTATTATAAGTGTTAAGTAACCCCGGAACAACTCGGAACCTGGCTCATAGATGGCGCTGAGGTTCCTCACACGATGATAAATGTTGTTTTAGAATCTAAAACTTGATTATACTGTACATAATTATAGTGATTAGATGTTATGCTATTATTATGACTCTGAGGTGAATAGTTTACTGTAAATTTGTGTTCAATAAACCAACTATTAATGTAAAATGTCTATAAATAAAGTCATTGAATTATAGATTCAGATTCAGGAACTTTATTCGTAAAAACTTATATAGAAATCATTACAATCATGCGGGGACTGAACAGGTGTACAGGAGAGGGGGGGGTAGGGAAGGTGGTGAAGGGTAGTGAAGGTGGTGAAGGGTAGTGATGGTGGTGAAGGGTAGTGAAGGTGGTGAAGGGTAGGGAAGGTGGTGAAGGGTAGGGAAGGTGGTGAAGGGTAGGGATGGTGGTGAAGGGTAGGGAAGGTGGTGAAGGGTAGGGATGGTGGTGAAGGGTAGGGAAGGTGGTGAAGGGTAGGGAAGGTGGTGAAGGGTAGGGAAGGTGGTGAAGGGTAGGGAAGGTGGTGAAGGGTAGGGAAGGTGGTGAAGGGGTAGGGAAGGTTGTGAACTACCACCACCACCACCACCCGGCCTCACAACCCCACAACCTTCACCAGTTAACAGCATCTGCCAATATTTTGCCAATTTTAAAAGCCTTTCAAGATCGTCTTGAAGATATTTGCTGCTCTTAATTTACTTCCTGCCCTAATTTTCGTCAAGATAATTACACAACTTGGATGTGACCGGTTGAGAGCCCTTGAGAGCGGCCGTATAGGCGTAGAGAACCCTGAAGCAGATTGTGTGCTGTAAACCCATAATAAAAAAATGGAAAAAATAGCCCGGGAAGCATCTGAAGTTTTCAACTTTTATTGAAAACTTGGTTTGTTGAAGTTATCGCCCCTGGGGAGAGTTTATGGCTCTCATGTGTCTCTCCTCGGCCCATGTGTCACCCCGGCCAGTGTGTCACCCCGGCCCGTGTGTCACCCCGGCCCATGTGTCACCCCGGCCAGTGTTTCACCCCGGCCAGTGTGTCACCCCGGCCAGTGTGTCACCCCGGCCCATGTGTCACCCCGGCCAGTGTGTCACCCCGGCCAGTGTGTCACCCCGGCCAGTGTGTCACCCCGGCCAGTGTGTCACCCCGGCCAGTGTGTCACCCCGGCCAGTGTGTCACCCCGGCCCGTGTGTCACCCCAGGACGAGGACCAGCCTCCATCCCTCACATGATGGTCACCATGGTAACATCTCCCACCATGATGGTCACCATGGTAACATCTCCCCCATGATGGTCACCATGGTAACATCTCCCCCCATCATGGTCACCATGGTAACATCTCCCACCATGATGGTCACCATGGTAACATCTCCCCCATGATGGTCACCATGGTAACATCTCCCCCCATCATGGTCACCATGGTAACATCTCCCCCCATCATGGTCACCATGGTAACATCTCCCCCCATCATGGTCACCATGGTAACATCTCCCACCATGATGGTCACCATGGTAACATCTCCCCCCATCATGGTCACCATGGTAACATCTCCCACCATGATGGTCACCATGGTAACATCTCCCCCATGATGGTCACCATGGTAACATCTCCCCCCATCATGGTCACCATGGTAACATCTCCCCCCATCATGGTCACCATGGTAACATCTCCCCCCATCATGGTCACCATGGTAACATCTCCCCCCATCATGGTCACCATGGTAACATCTCCCCCATCATGGTAACCATGGTAACATCTCCCCTTGATGGTCACCATGGTAACATCTCCCACCATGATGGTAACCATGGTAACATCTCCCACCATCATGGTCACCATGGTAACATCTCCCACCATCATGGTCACCATGGTAACATCTCCCGTGACCTCTCACAGCATCAGTGTCCGGGTCTGGCCTATATGAATAGTCTGTATCTTGTCCGTCGTAGGGTACTGAGCGTTATATGGCACAAGGCTACCTGTCCCCAGGAGGCAGCCCGCCACCTTAACTATAACGTCTGCGCTGTAACTCACACAAGTCGTAAAAGCAAGACGTTATGTTTACGCTTCAGATTAAGACTCGAGCGAATAATCTGTTGGGCAAATATGCATTAACCGGTTGTCCAGACAGGCGGTGTAATCTTCGCCTCCCACACACTCAACACACACACACTCAACACACACACACACACTCAACACACACACACACTCAACACACACACACACACACTCACACACACACACACACACACACACACACACACACACACACACACACACACACACACACACACACACACACACACACACACACACACACACACATCAGCATCAACCAGCAATAAAAAAAAATTAAACAGGAGAGTCGTGGCACAAGAGAAAACGTGAATAAACAGAGGAAGGTTGAGGGTAAACTCAACAACCCGAGGGAAGATCTACACACACTCCGCCCCAACGTCGCCCTCACAACACTGGCGGGAAATATGTGAGAGAGGTGCTTCAAGACACATAATAAGAAGGTGTTGACGTTGTGGTGGTGATGAGTTGTGGTGCATCCCTCTAGGTGGTGTCTTAGGGCCTCATTCACGAAGCAGTTACGCAAGCACTTACGAACCTGTCCATCTTTTCTCAATCTTTGAAGGCTTTGTTTACAATTATTAAACAGTTAATGAGCCCCGAAGCACCAGGAGGCTGTTTATAACAATAACAACAGTTGATTGGCAAGTTTTCATGCTTGTAAACTGTTTAATAAATGTAACCAAAGCCGTCAAAGATTGAGGAAAGATGTACACGTTCGTAAGTGCTTGCGTAACTGCTTCGTGAATCTGGCCCCTGGGTGCTGTAACCCCCCCCCCCCTACCAACACCACCACCTTGTCACAAGGTGGTGACACACCTCAGACAGCTCTGGAGCTCCTCATCCCCCCTCCACCCCCCCCCCCCAAGACATTCTCGTCAAATCACCAACACAAAAGACTTTTGCCTTAACAATCACCACATTGTCATCAGCAGCCAAACGTATTTAACTTCCCGCTCCAAACTTTAACAAGCATTAAAAAAACACTTTTTTTCACAAGAAAGTTATAAATTGTAAATATTCAAATTTCTCCTCTCATTTATCATGGAAATTTTCTCGTGCCTAGAATTCTTCACGCCCCCCCCCCTCTCCCCCCCATACCCCCCCCCTTTCCCCTCCCCCCATACCCCCCTCCCCCCCTTTCCTTCTAGTGTTCACAGCGAAGGGTGACATTTGGACCACTTCACTATACGTATAGTGTCATCGAACCTCACCATCGATCTCGTTTGGGGTCGAGACATGACAGAGAAGATTGACTGGGCACACCTCGTCAGCTGTTCCTTTCCTGTTCATCCAGCGGTAATTGGGTGCCAGGTTCATAACCAGGTCGTGTTCCAGGAAAGAACCAATAGGGGTACAGCGCGGGGCTCTGTAAATGGGAAGCTTTAATCCTGTTAACAGGAATCACATGTTATCTACTCCTGTACCCGCTTGTGTAAATATGTACTCCTGTAAATGAACAAATCCACAAGGGCCGTGACGAGGATTCGAACCTACGTCCGAGATCATCCCAGACGCTGCCTTTATCGACTGAGCTACGACATGGTAAAGAAGTTGAAACCAAAGTTCTACTGAACTTACTGGATCCTGCAGCCTCTCCGAGACACAAACCAGGGTTTTACACAACTCCCCCCTGCACTCGAGCTATGCCAATTGGCCAGAATCGGTTCGAATCCTCGTCACGGCGCTTGTGGACTTGTTCATTTGATGCACCACGCTATTGTGATTTCTGTGTGTAATGAAGTAAGGGCGAAGAGGGAGAATGGTCTATTGACATTAGGCCGTTCCTGTACTCCTGTACCTATTGGCGGGTACAGGAGTACAGGATGGATCCATCCATGTACTCCTGTACCCGCCAGTGTGAACAATAGACAATGATAAAGAAAGAAAATAAGAAGAGAGAAATCTTAGTTGTATTCACGAAGGAGGTGCCAGAGGTAGGTCTTAAGAAAGTGAGGTACAGAAGAAAGTGATGATGAGAGAGAGAGAGAGAGAGAGAGAGAGAGAGAGAGAGAGAGAGAGAGAGAGA